TCCAGCGCTGCGATGGAAGAAGCCGGCCAGACCTGGCCTGCTCTTCAGGGGTGGCCGGCCTCTCCTGAGGGATCCGATTAAAGGGCTGATTTAATCCAAAGCAAGGGCTGCTGCCGCCTCACACCTAGCCGGGCCGCCACCTTGAAAGACGGGAAGGTCTCGACAGGTTTTGGCCCAGAAAGAGAAAGAGAGAGAGAGAGAGAGAGAGAGAGAGAGCACCAGGGGAGAGTTTTCGCTGCCACCCTGCCCTAAGAGAGGTCTTCCTGGCTGGATGGCGACAGAGAAGGAGCCCAGAGCCGCTCCCTTCCAGGGGCTGTTTTGATCCCGTCATGCCCCAGCCTCTGCAGCCCCGGCACGAGGAAGCGCTGCTGCCCAGCTTGGAGGTGGGGGGGGGGCAGTCAGGAGCTCGAGGGGACGTCCACACCTTCCACCTCCGTGGAGTTCGGCCAAAGGGTGAGGCAGAAGCAGCCAAGGCCCACGGAGACCGCTCTGCTGACAGGAGAGCAACCCCCCCCCGGCCCGGCAAGCGACGAAGCCTGGCCGACAAAAGGGGGGTCCTCCCCCTTCAGCCGGAAGAGCCCTCTGTCCCCTGGAACCTCGTCCTCTACAGAAAAAGATGGGGTGGGCCAGCAAGGGCTGAGCCAGAAGCCCAAACAGCAGCACTGCAGTGATGGCCGTGGGGCTGCCCTTGGCTGCACCACCAGGATCCATGGCGAGCCACGGACAGAAAGAGCTCCCTGAAGCCGGCGCTGCCTTCCCTCACGGAGGCCGACTCTCTGTCCATCCTTTTTTTCAGGGAGAAGGGAGAGGCAGCAGGGTGGGGGACCCAGGCCTGCCAGAGAGCATGAAAAGCCCCTGCGAGGTTGGGTGAGAACAAGGTGCAGGAGCAGTCCTCCGAGGCTGACAGCCGCACCTAGGCTCCTCCCCAGCCCAGGTTGGACTACAGGTCCCAGAATGCCACTGGGTGGTGTCTTGGAAGGCAGGGACCCCGAACGTGAGCAGCTCGGGCCCCTTGTCCTGGGTGAGGATTGGGCTGCCTCCGATCGGGCTGCCCTCCGCAGCGCTTCCACCTGCAAGGGCCCTGGGAAGTTGGGACAGGGGAGCAGGGCGAACCTCTTTCCCTCTCGGGGCCCTCCCACTGAGCCACTTCAGCTGGACGGGCCGCCCGAGGAGCCAAACTGTCCTCTCCTGTCCAGCGGAGGAGAGGGCCGTGACTCGGTGGTCTCGGCAGCCCCTCGCCCCCTCGTCTCCCTGACCCAGCCTGGGAAGTGACCGGGCCCTCCCGGACAAAACCCCGCCCTCCGGAGCCCTTCCAAGGAGAGAGGAGGAGGAGGAGGAGGAGGGCCGGGAGCCCCCGCGGGTGCCCTCGGCTCCAAACACACGGCCCAGTTGCTAACAATATTGGAATTCCAAAAGGGCCTCGTAATGTAGGAAAAATAAGACAAACATCCTGCAGGGCCTTACCCAATCCGGGTAAACAGCTTCCCATGGGCATGGAGAAAACTCAGGACAAACCTTTTGTTCAGCTGCATGGGAAACAGAAAAAAAAAATTATAATAATAAAAGGAAAGGGGAAAAAAAGAGAATAAAGAAGAAGAAGATGAGAAAAACAATCCAACCTCGCTCCCTCTCTCCCTCTTCCTGTGAAATGGAGCT